ATCAAATTGCGGAGGAAGTCCATTTTACACTGTTTAAGCTGAGAGACACAATTATACTTTGCAGACACAGATGCATAACGAGTTTAGAACTCAAAAATGGAACTCCCGTTAAATAACTTTTGAGCATTTAAGAAATGATTATAAACCTCAGTTTATAGAAGGAATATTTTGGTTCTAGAATCCTTTCATCACCCCCCGCTCACCAACCTCCCACAACTTAAATTTATACTGGATGATTCTAAATTATCAAGTAATGTAAATGCTCTTGATGTCTGACTACATCACTTGAGTCTACTATAGAAAAGTGTAAAGTAAGGAAATTATTAGTTGTCAATATTATACAAGAGACGGTACCATAGTTGCAATCATTAACAATTCAGCAGGTTATCTGCAACTTGTTTATTCCTTCCTATTACAATCTAAGTTAGCAGTTCAATGTATGAAATGTTGTACAGGTATTGCTTCAGTTACCACAAAGGAGAAGAAAGAATAGAAACAGATGACAGAGCATGTATGTTTTCTCATACCAAACTTTTGTGGCGAATTTCATTTTTGGAGGCTCAAATGGGTAACCATCTGCAAAGACAAAGCTTCTTGATTTAGGAGGCATACATAAAAACAGAGTTACTGCTAACAAACTTTAGGGGGCTCCCCATTTCAAGTGTCTGACTGAAAATTCATGACAAGTTAAGGGGTGAAAATAGCCTTTTTCAAAAATGGTAATAGTTGTATTCATAAACAACATAACGATAGTGCTGGAATTTTCTGCCTAGACTATCTTCCTTATCAAAATAAGATTGAGCTCCTCCAGAAAGTACATTTTCTTTTCTACAGACACGAGGAAACCTCGGCCCTTTTACCTTGTCATGTTTTTTACCTACCATCAAGCACTCAAGATGATTTTCAGATGTCACCAACAATGTGAGTAAGCGGACTTTCACCTAGTATTCAATACCTATACAAGTTTGTTTTCAAAATGATTCATGCAAGGAAGCCAGTAATAGGAGGTAAATATTTCAGTACCAACAGTCAGAAGACCCTTTGGGTTATGCATATTTGATAACAAAGAACAGCTTTGAAATACGAGGATCAACACTTGACATTATCAAAACAGCAGAAATAACCCATACAAAAACTGTTGTAAATTAAGAAAACACCAGAGGTATACAATTAATATGTCAAAATAATAACAATAAACAGTGCTCCAACCCATCTCCATTCAGGTCTATATACTCATTTAAGCTCTTTTTTCGCCCATTAAGGAAAACAATAAATACAAGGTATATAGTTTTAAATAAAAGCAGATTTGATTTCTTCTTCTTAAATATTGTGCCATTATGGGTATAATTGAAAGTACATTTGAGTTAAAATGGCTGTTCACTGTGACAATGACATTGAAACCCTTCCCATACACAACAAATTAAACAAATAAACAAAATCTATCCGTAATTCTTTCATATGCCACACTAACTGAAAAAGATTCATTTTTTACCTAATAAAGACTCAATAACACACCCCCATTTATTGATACACTAATCCAAATTCAAAACCCTAGAACCCCAAAAAAAACACAAAACACACCTTCAAAATTCGTATAAGAATAAAAATCCCCTTTTATATGCATCCTATAATTGTAAAACGATTTTAAAAAATAGATTAAGAAGCGATTGGCGAGGGTTTACCAGTAAGAGTGATATCGATCTTGAAAGTACCGCCTTCATAAGGAGTACCAACAGGACCAGGGATTGTACCAATCAAGTGAGTGAGACTGTCACCTTTAAGGGTAACATTAATTCCAGAAACCTGAACATCTCTGTTGCATTCATGGAGCTCCTTTTGAACCCTAGCCAAGTCCACCATTTTTTTTTTCTCTCTTCCAATTTGATTCCAAGTTTGGTTTATGCAAAAGTCGCCACTGCTTTTTGTTGGAAGATGGGCTGAGAAGCAATGGAGTAAAGTGAATGAGATTTTGATAAATAAAAGAGAGGGCAAAAGGGTCAAAGACAGTCCGAAACTATTGAAAATAGAACAAAAATGCCCATTGTTTAGTTTTTTTAGTCCAATAATGCCCCTTAAATATTACTCCGTAAACCTGGATCGTGGTGTAGCGGTGAGATTACTTTCACCCTTAATAAGAGATTTCGAGTTCAAACTCTTGATATATTATGGAAAAAATTCTTTTGGGAGCCTCACCCCCAAATGGGTTCCCTAATGGCAATCCAAATTTAATTTGAGGCTTCAATATGAAATTGAATGAAAAAAAAATAAAAAATAATTGATTCAATTTATACCTATTGCCTTTAATGGACTTCAAGTTTGATGTGTTGTTTTTTTTTTGCTTGTAATAGACTTCAACTTGGGAAAAAGAATATTCCACTTGTTTTTTTACTCTTTTTTTTTTTTTTTTTTTGCCTTTATTAAAAATGTACCTTTTGTTCTTTTTAACTTTTTCTACATAGAAGGTAAGCATATAGGGGTGTTCACGGTTTGGATAAAAATCAATCCAAATTGAAAAATCAAACCAAACTGATTTTATTTGGATTTGATTTTAGATTTTTGAAAACCGAAAGTATTTGATTTGGTTATGGTTTTATTCGAAAAAATTGAAGAAATAACCGAACCGAACCGATGAATTATATACATATATTTTATTAATATACATACTTAATATATTATTTTTATAAATAATTTTAAAGAACTTATATATGTTTTCATTAAAATTTCTTTATACTTAACTTATTGAAAGCAAGAATGCCAAAGGCGAAAACATTTATCTTATCGATTTCATATAATATGAGTGTTTATGACAATTCTTTGTGGGACTGAAAATGTTATTGTCTCTTCCTTCTAGGCCAATATAGTGAATTTTAAAGTTTTATTGATAGTAAATTCAGTGATCAAAAGTTCGGTAATTTAAGGCATTCTAACTATTTTTTGTTTTGAATGGATTGTTGTCACTTTTTTCACATTTTGAATGAATTGTTTCTTTTATTTTTGTGTATGGTTAATAACCGAATAACCAAACCAAACCAAACCGAAACCGATAACCACCAAACCGGTAAATGTATATTATATTTGGTTTGGTTTGGTTTTGATAATTTTAAAATCGATTAAGTTTATTTGGTTTTGATTTTGACTACTAACCGATCCAAACCAACCCGTGAACACTCCTATTAAAGCATATATGTGTGGCCTAATTGTTACTATTAATAAAGTTTATTTTGAATTCAAATTTCAACAAGAAAATATAAGGAGTAATTCTTTTCATTGATGTCTATTTTTTTAGAGGATAAACTTTTTTAATAATATATTTAAGTAACAGAGTGACCAATAAGCCACCAAGAGAAAAGAGAAAATATGAGCTACTGAATACATATCGGTCGAATACCTATAGGTAGATGATAGCGGGTTTTCTAAAATAAATGATGGACATACCCCTTTTGCATAAAATAAATAGTACGATCTTGAATTTTATAAGTAGATTTTTAGATTTTTTTTTTAATCAATGTAGTTTGACATATGATATTTATCACATATTATATTATTTTAATTATTATTGATCTTTACCATAAAGTCTACCTATAATTGTCGTTTAAATATAATGTGAATTATTTTTACACCTTTATGAAACTTAAACTCAAGGAAATATATAGCGTAATAGCACTCACCCCTACGGGCACATATATATTGGTGCTAATGCTAATAATTGTCGGCATAATTTTATTCAATTAAAGATATAAATAATGTATTAAAATGTTCACTAAAATTATATACAACGCATGATCTTAAGTACAGTATAATACAACTGTGATATGGAAATGTTACTTGATGAAAAGATTCTAATGAGACATTTCATCTCCCATATAGAGATTGTTGAACTACTTTTATTTATTTTTTCCTTAAATTCAAACTTGGTCTTCCCTCACCTACCTACGTGAATGAATATTTACCTCGTGTTCAGTTCATTTTAACTACTAATTATTTATGATTATGTAATTTTTACAATTTATTGATCGAATTAATTCAACTTCACGTTTGAAAGGATTTGCTTAAGAGAAAATTTTCAAGCTCAAATCTGAGATCACTAATTTCAACATAGATGAATCGTATCTATCCTAATTCCTATTGAACTACATGAACCTTTCGCTCACCTTGTTCATGAGTATTTTAAGTGAAAATGCTTTTTGCTAGCACCTTTCTAGTGTTAATAATAGTTGTGATTTTTCTGTCAAAATTGAGCAGCTAATTAGGTAACCAAAAATATGTTATCAATCCGTACAACATCGACCACAACTTTTTGGTCGTCAATTTTGACTCCTTTTGCCATTTTATCTTCATTAATGAACACACATTAATTTACTATCTTCTCCATACTTGTTTGTTTTTTCATTATTTTTAAGTCACAAAGCAAAAAAAAAATAAAAAATTACAATTTGACTGCATTTCACATGTGTCTTTGTCGATCTGAGTAAGGACTAAGGGCAGACACAGACATGAATGAAATTATAACCAGTCTTTATTTTGAATGTCAGTGAGGTGGTTAGAAGGGGTAATATAGGAAGAAAAAATGTTACAAAACATAACACCATTATCACAACTTATTTTTTGGTTTTGTAATTTGATGTATTCCGAGGTGAAAGAGTCAGGGGCGGAGCTAGCGGGATACTAAAGAAGTCGATCAATCATCATGAGATGCAAACATGTGACATTATGATTCGAATCGTAATAATTTAGTTAGGTAAAGTATTTCAGTAAAGAGGAAGTCATGTGAAACTCGTTTCCACTTAATCCAAGGCTAATTTTCATAATATTGACACAAAAAATGATCAGTCATTAGTAGCTACCTACCATAAGTGAAGGCTAGTATTTTTATAGTATAGAGAACAAATTATGACAATTTGAAATGTCATTTTCTTTACCCAACAGTACTTTTAGCACTCAAATACATTTTTTGTTTTCCATCTATAAATAGAACCACCAACTTCTACTCATTCATTCACTTCTTGTTTTTCTTTTATGTTTTCTTGAGATCCCAAAAAATGGAGCCCAAAAATATGCAAAGTTCACCACTGAAACCTTACAAATATTTGTTGGGAACACAGATTTTGTTGAGAATTTTGGCTACAATATTCACGTTGGCGTCTACTTGGATTATTTTAACCAGCAAACAGACTGTTACTATATTTGGCTTTGAGATGGATGCACGCTATAGTTATTCTTCAGCTTTCAAGTAAATGAAAATCTAAAGCAAATATTTGTGTTTTTTTATTGAAAGTTCTGAATTTTAGTGTGGTTCTGTGTGCAGGTTTTTTGCTTTTGCAAATATGATTGGATGTGCCTTCTCTGTTTTGTCTCTGTTTCTTGCCTCTGTTTTAGGACATAAAGGTCTTGCTCCAAAGAATTCCTTTTACATGTTCCTTCATGATTTGGTACGTACAACTTTTACCTTTATTGTAATTGATTTGTTATGAAGGTGCTCGTATTCTCCATAAATGTTGATGCACCTGTACTTTCAAAAGAGGCTGAGCAACTTGTCTTGAAATCGTACTACAACAATAATAACATACTCAGTGTAGTCCCACTAGTAGGGTCTGAGGAGGTGGTGTGTACCCGTATACGCATACCTTACACCCCTACCTTGTGAAGGTGGAGAGGTTGTTTTGATATACCTCGAGTCAAGTAACACATATTGAGGGTCTGGAAATAATACCTTTTATTTTATTACTCAATATTTTCCAAATATACCTTTCTTTCCCCATCCTAGAATTTCATACAAAATTTAGTTGTCCATAGTATATAAGTTTGTTATGTCATGTAAGAGGCATTGATTGTCTTGCTGTCTCTTCATTTGGTTCTATTCTTATGATGAGGCTTAATCCTACACTCACTTACAATGCATTTCTCAAGTTATATATAATTATTATGTTGGGGTACTGATGAATCTTGATGTGTCTCAATACTGATGAATATGACCACCGTGGTGTACGGGTAAGCTAGCTTTCACACACCTCTTCCTGTATCAGTTATTGTCATCGTTAAAAAATGAAAATTAGAAGCTAGAGACTTAAAAGTGGTAGACGTTGGAATAAATGGTGCTAGCTAGTATGAATGTATGACCTTTCTCTGTTGGGCCCTTTAGGACCACTTAAACACCAAGTCTTTGGATTGCCGCCTTGACATTGTAAAAAAATTTCACACTATCAAATATCAATGAAATATAACCTTTCTTATTTTTAGGTTATTAATCACATAATTTATGAATAGTTATCTGTAGTTATATTTAGCTCACATAATAGGAGATTGTAAAATTCTGCTTACACCGGAATGAGTAATAGTTACACTAAACTCAAAGTCATGTATAAACCAGACATTTGCATTATACACTATTTTTATTAGTATAAAATTTGAAGTAGTAATGTGAATGTTGGAATTTTGTGGTGAGCGCAGATTGTGATGGCAGTGCTGCTAGCTGGATGTGCAGCTGCAACAGCAGTTGGATATGTGGGGAAATATGGAGAGATGCATTCAGGATGGATGCCCATTTGTGAACATGTTGACAAATTCTGTCACAAAGTAACAAATAGTGTCATGCTTTCCTACTTTGCTGTGTTTTTCTACCTTTGCCTCACCATTATCTCAGCAAATCAATCCAGACAGATCCAAGTTTAACGTTTCAGAAATATCATTTTCTTAACGATACATATCAGAAGTTGAAACAAAAGAACAATGATGCAAGGGTATTCACTAAGGGCTTCCTCAGGCCAAATGCGCGTGTGTTGTATGTTAGTTTTTGGCTCTACTGTGTACAACATGTTTACTGATATATCAATCTTTTAGTTTGTGTACTTAGTCATGTTCTTTCTCATGTTACAAATTAGAATTACAATTAATCACAACCAAAAAGGAGCATTTTATAAAAGTTCAACGTAAAGCTTCAAAATCTTCTTGTAATTGGAAACGAACAATCCCTTATAACCAAAAAGGAACTAGAAATCAAAGCCAAATAATTTTTTTTTAAAAATAGATAATGATCATTATTAGCGCATTCTGTCTGGAAGAGTGGGGGATAATGGTTTGTGATCAAACATGGTTCAAGACTTAAAAGTGTAATTTTCTAAAATGATATAGTAATAACTATTTTGGACCTATTATTTTTAGTATAGGTAACAACTAAAAAGGATGGCAGGGGGCAATATATATTATATACTTAGGGGTCGTTTGGTAGCTGGATAAAACAAGCCTTATTCATGTATTAGAGTCTGTATAACATATACGACGTTTGGTAGATGGATAAGAAAAAAGTTATTCATATATATAATTAATACGATGTTTGGTAGGTGGATAAAAAACATGTATATAATTAATACAACGTTTGGTAGGTGGATAAGAAAAAAAGTTAGTCATGTATAAAATTAATACAATGGTTGGTTGATAATTTTGAAATTCACATAACTAATACATGTATAAGTTATGAGGAAATTTGTATATTATTTATGCAAGAGTAAAAACTGGAATAACTAATATGTGTAAGACATGGATAAAAAGTTAAAATGACAATATTATTCTTTTCGCTTCCACTTGACTACTTTCTTCTTTAATTTTACATAATTAAAGAAATGTTTTAATTTAAATACAAAGTTAAAGAAGGAAAGAATATAATTGTATAAAAATGTTAAAAAATAATAATAATAATAATAAATAAATAATATATATATATAATTTTACTAATTTTTAATATAAAAAACCAACATCCAAAGGAATAGTTTATGCATAATTAAACTCCGCATAACTACACTTTGTATAACTAATACTCACATTACTAATACATGCATAACTAATACCCACATTACTAATACTTGCATAACTAATATCCACATTACTAATACTCATATTACTAATACATGTATAACTCTAACCAACTACCAAACGACCCGTTAGGGTGTTTGGTATGAAGACAAATGTTTTTCATAGAATTTTTTACTAAAAAATAATACTTAAGTAATTTTTAATTTATTTTTTTAGTATTTTGTAAGTAAATCAAAAAATATTATATAATATCATTTATATAAAATCTAGAAATTGGAACACTAGGGAAGAATTGGGTGAGGTGTGGAGCGGAGGGTGTTAGATATTCAACATGGTAAATCCAACTTCATACTTAATACTTAATAGTAGGATACAAATTATATAAAAACTAGTAGGATCGAATGTCATATCGATTTGAGTCATAGTTGATTGTAGAACGGATTAGGTCTTCCTCTCTATTATCTTATTCATTAAAGTGGCAATGAGACAACAAATTTACACTCTCATATGTCCATAGTGATGATACAAAAGAGTCAAAGAGGTGTCTTATATATATAGGATTAGAAAAGAGAATCTAGTTGCAATTATTGAAACTTTAATGGGTCCACCCACTATGAATCTCATTGGGTTAAACCTACATTCACCGCCTCACTAGATCCATCAAGCACACAAAATGCACAAATCAAATTTCCAATTATCACACTTACTATTCGATTTATGTTCTAGACTAACATACGATCCGAAAATAGTTAAAATATAAGAAAAATGTTTTAAATAATGTAGGTCTGTTTTTCTAACTAAGGGTGAAGTGATGTGGGGGTAACCAATGTTCTAGATGGAGAGGATACAATGAATTTGAAATGTAACTTTACTCCCGATAGAGAAATCATCTTGGTGATTTTTAAGAAATTTATTTTTCTACAGATTATATTTTATTTTATTAACCTACCAAACATGAGAAAAATTATGTTTCTTAAATTAGTAATATTTAAAAAATAATTTAACCTATCAAACATGAAAAAAAAAATATAATTCGAAAAATGGTTTCTTCCGTAGGAAACCCACCCATAGTTTTATTAAGTTTTGCTGCATACAAATCAGGTCAAAAATGCTTTTTTGGTTAGCAGCCTTTGTATAATTAGTACGCCTATATAGTACTATCGTTAGTTTTATTCGATTTTCGAAATTTAGGTAACTGACTACAGGAAAACTAGATAGACTTTTTCAGAGTTATTTTTTTGTTGTCAAAATTGAGCAATTATTAGGTAACCAAAAATATGTTTCAATTAGTACAACTAGAACTTTTACTAGTCAATTCTATTCGTTGCAAATAAATACCTTTAATTAATTAATCTTCTTCTCCTACTTTTTTCTCTTTGTGAAATGGGATAAAGCACATTCATTAATGAACATGCTATGTACCATCTCTCCATGCTTTGACTGCATTTAACAAAGTCTTCATCAATATATTCTAAGAATGGTAGAGGCAATAATATGTATGAAATTACAAAGAAATATATCCATCAAATGTCTGAAAGTAAATCAATAATTTTTCTTTATCTTCTAAAAGTTGCAATACTATGAACTTGTGATATTTTGTCCCCCCACATTGAAGAAAGTAAATTTTGTCTTGAGATAGAATTTAAGATTTTAAGTTTATAATTCTAATAACTCACCACCAAACCTACCATCCATTTATGCTACTTAGTTTATAATTTATTTTTATATGTATATGTTAAGTGGATTTCACCTTAATATATAAGATTTGAATTAAGATTTTTGAATTTTATCGGATCCATACTTTTTGTTCTAATATAGACATAGTGTTAACACAAAAATGAGAAAAAATATGTCCATATGATGTACCTAAACCGATTATGAGATGGTGGAGAGGATTTTGTGGCGTTTAGTTAGGGTAGTGGTTGGAGCCAGTTGAAACATGGAGTTGATAGTTAGTTTAATTTTGTACTTTTGATATTTAGGATTTTTTAAGAAGTTAGGATGGACTCGAACTAAAGCCTATTTATTTATATTAAGATTAAGATATTTTAAATATGAATGTATGTGTGAATGATTAAAATGTTATTTTTTTTTCAATATATGTGCGTAATTTATTTATTTTTAAAATAATAAATATATAATTTAAATTTAAAAAAGTAATTAATTATTAAAAAATATATAATTTGATAAAATGAAATTATTTTTTGATTTTAAAAATGAAATATTTATGTTTGTAAGTGATAATAAAAATGGTATGTTGTGATGTTGATGGTTGGTGTTGTTGACTAGAAATGATGATGGTGATAATTATATGTGGAGGTAATTAGTGTGGTAGCAACTGACACGATGTTAGTAATTGACGATATTGAAATGGTTATTGAAGAATATGTATTGATTAATGAAGATATTAATAATAGTCGATGGTAATACTAATCGTAATGATGAAGATGGTAAGAGGATGTGATAGTGGTAGCGTCTATGCATATGGTGATAGATGTGGTACCTAATTCATGTACTCATCGAAGTTATTCTAACTTTATACTAGTAATTTCACTAAGCAAATTGGTTTTGAAATCTGCCTTTTCTGAAAGATTTGGATGTCTAACTCCCAATTTGTCACAATTTTGATTGTCGGTTGGTTAATTTGTCTTAGATTTGAAAATTATAACACTCTAATTTTTATTTTTTTTACATACGCGCTCTGTCCAATAATAGTGGTTTATTATTGAGTTTACACATTTCTTAAGATACTATAGAAGGATAATTTTACTATATTAATCTTTCAATATAATAAATATAATGTTTTGAAAAAAATATAATAGATAAATGACTATAATTAGTGATAATAGTAAATATTTAGGAACGCCATTAATTTCAATAAGTGAACAAGTATTGTAGGATATTCCAAAATAAATTAGTGGACAAATATTGTTGGAGGGGGGGGGGGGGGTAATTATTACTACATTCGTCCACTTTTAATTGTCATAATTTCCTTTTGTTAGAGTCATACAATAAAAACTTTGACTAACATTTTACAATGTATTTTTTCATCATATTGATATGCAAATAATTGCAATTTATAGTACTTTTAAAAAAGTTTTGAATATCTAACTTTTTTGTTTAAAATATCAAATTACTGTAATCTAATTTAACTTTAAAAATTAGTCAAATTGACTTTTGAAAAGCACAAGATGACAAATAAAACTGGACTAAGGGAGTAATTACCTTGATGGAAGACTCCAATCGATAGGATAAACAAGAAATACTCCCTCCATCCATTTTTATTTGTCATGCTGCGTTTTTCGAAAGTCAATTTGACTAATTTTCAAAGTTAAATTAGACTACATTATTTTTTAAAAAAATTAAAAATTAGATTACATTAATTTGATATTTTAAATAAAAAATATACATATTCAAAAATTATGCTATAAATTGTATTTTTTTTGCATACAATATGAAAAAATACACTGTAAAATATTAGTAAATTTTTTTTATAGTTTGACTCTAAAAAAAAAGAAAATTATGACAATTTAAAGTGGATAGAGGTAGCAAGGAATTAAAAGAATTTTATTTATTTTCTCCGAGAATTAATGCATTTTTGTTACTCGGGAGGCAGTTTTAAAACTTGGTAGCATTTTTTTCGGTTTTGAAAAAGATCCATTAACATGAATCATCTTTCTCTCTCTAGAAATAGCACTACCAACCTCCACTCGCCGCCCACTTCTTCATTCAGTTTTTGTTTTTCTCTTTTCTTCAGATCCTAAAAAATGGAAAACTTTGGTGCCAAAAATAGGCAAAATCATAATACCCAAAACCCACCAATGAAATCTGACAAATGTTTGTTGTCAACACAAATTTTGTTGAGAATTTTGGCAATTGCATTCACATTGGCAGCCACTTCGATGATTCTCACAAGCAAACAGGCGGTTACTGTATTTGGCATTGAAATGGATGCACGCTATAGTTATTCTTCAGCTTTCAAGTAAACCCAAGATCAAACAACAAAATTATTTTTTTGGTTTTGCTCTGTTTTTTTAAAAAAATTTTTAAATTTCGGTATTGTTTTGCAGGTTCTTTGCTATTGCAAATATGATTGGATGTGCCTTCTCTGTTTTGTCACTGATTTTGGCCTCTGTTCTTGGCCATAAAACTCCTGACCCAAAGAACTATTTTTACATGTTCATTCATGATTTGGTACGTACAAAATATTCTTCATTTTTTCATCATGTTCATTCACAATCACTAATTATCAGTAGATCTGGGAAAATTCTTAACCAATAGAAGTACAATTTTGCATTCATTGAAGTTTATATAAGTAACGTCACTCAATATGCATTTTAATGCCTAAAACTTGCAATGCATTTTGATTTTTGCGGGGACAAAGACAGGTAGTATTAATGTGTACGGTTGAAATTGTGTTTTATGTATATATAATAAATTTTGACTTCTTCGTATGTTCACTTTTCTATTTTGAATATTTTATTAAAAATTCTGGTTCCGCCTCTAAGTCTTTTTAGAAAATTGATAACAATTCCTTCATTTGGTATAAATGGTGATACAGTAATATATGACCTTTTGCCTAACAAAATTTTCACCTACATTCGCGGTAACCGTTTGTAGTAATTGTTATCAAGTGTGTAAACAATATAAAACAAGTATGTACTCACTATATAACATATATGTAATGTAATACGTGTATAATCATGTATAATGTATTACACACTAATAATACTAAATTTTGTAAAAGAGTATTTTTTATTGTGAACTTTGTTGGACTAGTATGTAGTGTGAAAATCACAAAGATAACGCTCGTCTACATGTGAATCCTTACTGTCTATGTCGCGCGTCTTTTTGCTTTTGAAATAGTAATGTGAATGTTGGAATATTTTTGTTGTGAGGGCAGATTACGATGGCATTGCTACTGGCTGGATGTGCAGCAGCAACAGCAGTTGGATATGTGGGAAAATATGGAGAGAGTCATTCAGGATGGATGCCAATTTGTGATCATGTTGACAAATTTTGTCGCAAAGTTTCACATAGTATCATGCTTTCTTATGTTGCAATGATACTCTACCTTTGCCTCACTATAATATCTGCAAATCAATCCAGAAAAATCATAGTTTAACAATTAGAAACAAAAAACAATGATCAATATGATTTGATCAATGTTGTTCTGGTTTTATATAGTAGTGTTGTTGTAGGTTTGTTTTAGTTTTTGGTGTAATCATTACTTGCTTCTAGTTGCTAGCTACTTTTTATATATACATATATGAAATTATATTATCCTTAGTTTAAGTTTTGTAGCTATCTTGTTCTATGTGCATTATTGGACTTAGCTATTGCTTATGTGAAATTGAGAGTGGCATCTAACTGTTTTGATAAAATATAGAGAAGTATTCAGATCAGTCCTGCAAGGTTACTAACTATTCTAAATTATTCAATATGTATTGTGATTAATAGTTTATTTTCAAAAACAATCAATTTTAAAGGTAAGAAGATTAATTTTTTTAATTAATTTCATTTTAATTTTGTAAATCGATATATTTTTTAGATAAATATTTTTAATAATATCAACAATTAATGTGAGACGGAGAGGGTACATTGTCAAGATTGAAAACAAAGCTCATGAAACACGGTAAATGTGTCTCATACCTAATTCTCTAATGCCAAAATTATATAAACAAGTTATTTATTCTACCTTATGAGTTCTTTTAATACTCTACTTATAGCACCAAATTAATTAAAAATTAAAGACGGTGCAGTGCATTGGTCTGGAGGGAATCGTTTTGTTGAGAGAAAAATTTAACAATGCATTTATTGGAGAATAACTAAAGAATTATTATGCTTGGATATTTATAAATTTAAAACTAAGATATTTATATTTTATATTATATTGATATTTTTCTACGTTTCAAAATGAATAAAAAATTTAAAGTTAAAAGATGTATTAGTTAATCTTTTTTCTTCAAAATTACCCTTTTTCTAATGGGATTTTCAACTATTTTAAGTTTTTAAAAAAGTTTGAGAATAAACAAATTAATGGCATTGACTAACTTTGTTAAGAAGTGTGTCACGTCTTATAAAATTATTTCTTTTGAATTTGAGAGCGTAATTAATTAAGCTTAGCATCATTGGTTACAACTACTCTCGTTACGTATCTAGATTGTTATGTAATTAATTACATTTTTAAGAATATAAGTATATATTAGTCTGTCAATCAACAACTTATGAAGTGGCAATGCCAACACCAACATTTATGATTTAAGGAATTTATTTTAGTTGGCTATGAGAATTATAATACTTGCATCTGTCCTATTAATTACTCTTGCAAGGTTCGTTGCATCTTTTTATTCAATTTAAAGTCCAATTCTTTAAATATCCACATTATTTTAATGTACATGCTTTGATTTTAGGCCAGAACTTCTGGATTATTGAGAAATGTTTATCATAGTAAAAAAAAGGGTTCACCAATGATATACAAAAGGACGAAAAAAAATTATTGGTTCAAATGCATTCACCATCTTTGAATCATATATACTAGTATTATATATAGACACACAAATCTAGATTTCTTATTTTTTTTTAAAAAAAAAATTAGTACTATCATTTTTACACGTAAGAGATCTGAAATGCCTTTTTTTCTATTAAAAGTTCACTAAATGATAAGAGAAAGCGTAGTTTTGCAAACTTCAACGTCACCAGCAAACGATTTGGCACAAAACGAAAACAATCATGATATGTAATTTGATATAACTTACATCAATATGTTTATTAAGTTGAGGAAAAAAAGAGAGTTGTTAAGGCATATCATGTCATATCTTATTCACCTAATAAATGTGTGCAATTCATCTAACACGCCATACTACAAATACAACATATTGTACTTGTTCGAAGATGATTGTTAACTAATCTAGTCATTAAAAGTATATTATTAGCACTCTGCATATGCTAAACCTAAAGTTTATATTCATATTTTGTTTTCAATCTCATTCACATGTATAGGGTTTTAAACAAAATACTTGAAAATAAGATCTCTCTCCTTAGTTTTGTTCCGTTATAATAAGATCTTAATTCGAATAAAATGGCAGTTTTAACTCTTTAAGAATATTATGGTAATTATTTTGGTTTTAGATCTAGCTAAGAATTCATCATTGGAGAAAAGTGAGAACCCAAGCCATTTATTTAAGAAAAATTGGACAAAAAAAATTTCAGCCCATTTAGAAATGAGGCTCAATAATCAAGCCTCTCTGGGCCGTTAGCCAGTAAGGCCCAAAGAAAGGAAGAACAGATTAATTATTTTTTAAAAAAACAAAATAGGAAAAATTACAGAAATCTCACCTTTTAGTTTACTTATTACCATTATCCCCTATAAGTTTTACAAATTTCCAAAATCCCTCATTTTCGCGCATCAGATTAGTGTATCTCGCGCATAATCAGATTAATGTATCAGCGCTTATATTATTGTATCTCGCGCATCAAATTAGTGAATCATGTATAAAAAGTAATGTATCTTACTTAACGATTAATGTATCTCACGCACCAGATTAATGTATCAACGCTTATATTATTGTATCCATTTGAGGGATTTCTGTAATTATAAATTTTTAAGGGATAGATTGTAATTTTGCCTTAAAAGTATGTGATTTCTGTAATTTGCCCAAAAAAATATCACAAGTAAATTAGACAAAAAATTATGAATAAAAGAATGTACTAAATACTAATCATATTAGAAATTAGAGTTTTACTTTTTAGTCTTAAAAATCATATTATGTTGAATTTCTTTTGAAAGTGATTTGGATAATTGAACAAAGATAATAATTTATATTTTGATTTTTTTTTTTTGAATTGATTTGTTTCTGTAATGTGAGTTTATGCAAGAATGATGTAATAGAGAACTCTATTTAAGACACCATTATTGTATTGTACCAAAAATATTAGACTGTGGTCTAATATCAATAAGAATTTTAGAACGCAAACTAATTTTCTTTCACAAATTTTCGATTTACTCAAAAAATGAATCTTTAGATTTCGGAGTTGCTTAAGAAATAAAAGAAAATCATTTATTAAAATATGTGTTTGAAAAAGGAACGATTGGCGAAAATTTCTCGATATGAAAGAGAATAACTTGATCTATATCGAGAGAGTATTGGAATATTTTAAGATATAAGGCAATCGTAAAGTCATGAGAGAATAAAATAGATTTGACTTGATACATATTATTAGGACTTTAATAGACAGATGATGATCAAATCATTTATTCTCTTGCTTTTATTCTTCTTCAAATTATTTCAAGTGATGAGGGGAATGTCAAACAGACAGCTTGCTTCAAATGTGTCAATTTTTGAGAGTTTTAAACATCAAGAATATCAACAACTGATTATTAATGTAATTAGTCAATATATAACATATGACGAGATGGAGTTGCTTGGATGGTAAGCACCTCTCACTTCCAATCCGAAGGTTGCGAGTTCGAGTCACCAAGGAAGTAAAAGGGGTGGGAGCTTCTACAAAGGGATGATAAAAAAATAAAAAAAATAAAATAAAATAAAATAAAATAATAATATATATATATATATATATATATATATATATATATATATAGTTCGACTAGAAAGCCTAAGTACTTTTAACGTACCATAAATACAATTATTGTTATAATTTAAATTAAGCCACTTTAAAGAATATTTTTGTATAGTCTGCATGAAGATATGATTCTTGATATATATAATAGAGAACAATGAAATCATTATTCGTGAAAATCTTACACGAACAAAAAATTATATATTTATGAAAAAAGGACAACTTGTTACATTAACAGACTTTAATGGCCTAGATCACCCACTTTGCCTATGTAATTTTATACACTAGTAAGCACAGTAAGGTCTTTAGTATGCTTAACCTCAGTAATTAAGGAGCTAATTTTCTAGTTGTTAGATTATAATATTCTTGAGTTTACAAGTTGATTTGATAATCAAAATATGCCTTGCGTATTTTATCACTTCCATTCATTAATTCATCTCACCTTTATGTCTACCTCGTATTAAGTCAACGTCTATATTTCGTATAAACATCATATATATACAAAAATGAACATTATAAGGAGGCAATGGCTGGTCCCTAGCACAAATAAGAATATGTTCCTTCGTTTATAGTGAGGATAATTAATTGATTCATTCATCATATATATATATATATATATAAATTCAAATAGAGAAGAACAACACGTGGTAAATCTTGTAAATCAAAGAGGTATTTTAAGTTGCGTGTCATTTTATATTATCAGATCACTTAAAATTAAAGATAAATCTAATAAGTAATCGTTCATAATAATAAATAGAATTAATTATAACATGTTAAATAAAATAGATAATCTGCGATAAATGGTTTAAGTACAATAAAATATAGTGTAAGAATTTCTTATAATGAGTCGGGAATATAATTAAGTTAAATGCTTTAATCTAATTCGCTTCCACCTAGTAGGCAATAGCTAGAGGGGTATAAGGGGTTCATCTAGTACTCCTTTACCAGACAATCACATTTTTTTCTCGACATATGTATATATAGTAAATAATAATTTTTCTGTTTGAAAATCTTTGATCCGCCACTATCCAACCATATTACCAACCTTGCCTATATATAGCATGCTTTGGATGAGTCATTAATAAGAGAGCCCAAGTAGAAACTAATTTATAGATAGAGGTCTTGTATGAATTAAGAATATAAGAGCCTGCTAGCTCTGGTAGCCAAGGATGACTAATTGCCTGATTAAAATATCTTTATGTAGGATTAATTTGATTATTATCTCATCAATTAATCCTTCAAAAATGATTATAATTAGGTGTCATCCTTGGCTAATTAATTGATTAGGATCGAAAGAGAGGTCTTATAAGAAGATAAAGAGCCTGCTTTGATAGCCAAGGATGACTGGCCTGAATTCCCATTCAGGAATACATAGTTTGTCTTAATTATTTTCATTTTTTAGTCCGTTTAAAAAAAAGATCTCTTTCCTGTATGGTTTTTTTGACGGTCATCCGAAGTTATCAAAAAAGGCTATTTTTCGTCATGCAATACCCTTATCTTTCATGCACATGTATACACTCCATGTTCATCAAGTCTGAAGAGATTCAATCTCAAGAAAAACACGAAAAATGATCAAGATCGAAAGGTACGTACAGGATCAAATGTGAAAGTTTATTTTTTTTATATTTTTGATTATTTAAGAAACGTTATAACGGAAAAGTGGACAAATAATACGAAATGAAGGGAGCATGGTAGACCTCGTGAACATG